AAGGGGCGGTGGCGGGGCGAAGAGGGGGGGTGTTTCAGGTCATGTCAGGTCTAAGTCTTACAAGGTATACAGCGTTTTGAGGTTTAAGGCTCAGTGGCGGTGGCCGGGATGGAGTTGGAGTTCTTGGGTTTGTGACTTTGCCGAAGGTCGTTGCAACATGACATGACCCTAAACCCTAAACCACATCTGCATGAGCGTGTGGGTTCGGTGCGCCCCGTGAGGATCCGTATGCCTCAACTGAGCTGGCCCGAAACCCTAAACCTAATCCCCTAGTTAGTACGACCCCGAAACCTTAATCTAGGCGCATGTGTTATGCTTCTCCTTCTTGGTTTGAAGGGGATCATAGTTTCGGAAGACTCCTCAGAGGGTTGACAAGACCAAGCTAGCCATGAAACCAAGTTTTTTGCTTTTAGGGTGCCGCCCTGGGAATATTCATATTATATATTCAACCTTTGAGGGTTTAAGCGGATCTTGCTTAGGAGTAGTTTTCAGGGGGGCTCGGCACAAGAAAGAGGGTCCAAGAGTATCCGTTGGTTTCGATCAGGGGCGGTGTAAGGACCCTAAATTGTTGCAGCGCCCATCGGGTACCAGAACAAGAACCTATCCAAGGGTTTAAGGGTTGGAACGGAGGCAGCTCTCAGCACTTTCACTCTCAGCGAAGGTAGAGGCTAGCATAAACTCTACAAACCTCTTGTCGACGCCGAGGAATGGTTTTCAATCTTCTTTCTTTTGTACCGTTGTGTACTCGGCTTCGCAGTTTTAAACGCCTCTTGCTTGCATCTGGATTGGATGGTTGGAGATTGGGTTACAGTTTAGGGTTTATAGGGCTCTCAAGACTACCTTAACCCGCCTAAACCATAGCCAGCCCTACAATGTTGTCTTGGAGTGTTGAAGGCTGGGCATGCTTCACAGAAAGCGAATCAAACAACGGCTTTGGGGTCCAGGCTTGCCTAGAACATGGGCTGTCCTTAGCACATTGGACTGACTGGCCCTAAGTCAAGAGCACTTCGCAAGTCCGGGGCCTTTTTAGCATACTTATGGTGTGAGGCAGAGCAACCTAAACCTTCTAAACCACGAACGAGCCTTAAAATCCAAAACGTGAACCCTCAGCTCGAGGCAGACACCCTAAATCCGAACTAACCCCCTCAAAACTGTACTGCATAATACCCTGAACCTTTTTAATCCCTAAGGCCGAAGCCCTGAGTCCCCTAAAACCCAACCCACCCAAAACCCTAAGCTTCTGGAAGCCCCCTCAACCCCCACCCCCAACCTTTAAACCCTAGACCTGCAAACATTTTTATGCGGTCCGAGGTAGTCAATGCTGTTTTCATCCAGCAAACTATGAAAACTGCGAATTCGGATGAGGAGCTCGCCTTCAGGCCCGGTTTTTTATGGGCTTTAGAGAAGTTGAGTAGGTTTGTACCCATGTGATTCATTGTAGATTGCACCCACAGGCTCAAGTCACCACAACACTCAAGTGTTCACGAAGAGACCATACGGCACGGAGGACTTCGACCCTTTTCCACTGCGAACACTAGCTGTGCTGTTCTAGCTTCAACAGCTTGGCAATGCCCTACATGTGCTTACAGCACGTTCGAGTGTCAATGCCAGCCTGCATGCACGTGTGCATGCCTCGGAGCACATGCAGCATCGGCGAGTTCAAAACCTGGCAGCAGAGGGAGGGTGATGGGAGTCGACGCTCTTCCTTGAAAGAGCCGCAGGTGAGTTCACCCTGCGCTCCAAAACAACCACCCTTTGCTATCCTGATGGGGCAGGATTGCCTACATGGAACTCCAGAAGCAACGCTGGCTGTCTGGAGAATTCCAGCATAGCCTTGGGTGGTATCATTGATAGTCTTTCCTTTAGCAGTCTGAGAGCCTGCTCTGCAAGGCCAAAAGTCATGACTGGTTCAGTTTGGGTGCTACGGTCAGTCAAGCTGCCCAGGATGCACCACCCCTAACAACCCCACCCTCCCTGAAACGCGGGTGTCGACGGGCATGATGGCACGATGCGAAACGGGTGGTGCACGCAGTGGTGGAAGATCGGTGGACTTGGATGCGCGGTCACCTCCTCTCCACTCCGCTTCTCCTTCCAGGGCTTTTGCCATTCTTCGAGAGAGACTCTCAAAGCGGCCCTTTCTGCAGCACTCCTGGTGCAACCCTCACTACCCCTTCGAGTGCTTCCCAATACCTTGAAGTGTAAACCATGCTGAGAGACCGTTTGGGGAGGTCCCACAAAATAGTGAAAGGATATTTGCTCACAGTAGTTTTCAGCGTCCCGGGGCTTACATATAATAATGGATGTGTTCGCATCAGCCTATGCCCTCAAGTACTTCCTAGTCTCATGGTTTGAGAATTACAATCCCTTAACACATGATGTGGGTAGTGCATCTACATAGGAGGCTTAAGCCCGGCACACATAGGCATTCTCTAGTGGAAACGGTTCACTTTCCATAAGAATCCGTTGAGTGATAGGCTTTCTACATGATCTGCTTTTGATATGCAAGACATATACCTTGTACACGTACATGATGTGGGTAGATACTCTACCTTTTCTTTGCACAGCGGCATTCTTTAATGGAAATGGCTCACGGCAAAAATGCATTCGGCAAGCAAACTGTCTTTGGCCACCAAGGCTCGGGCACACAGTTGTGAGACAAGCCTTGGCTCTAAACTCACAACTCAAGAATGGTGACTTCTCAGGGGAAACCTAAGTTTCCCCAACGCAACAGTGAACAAGACTATTTCCGTGGGCCCCTCAAACGTACCGTGATTTACCCAGCACTAGATGTTAGGAGCTTCACAAAGCGTATTTTCCTACGACTGAAGCCGAAATGGTGGATCAATGATGGGGGCGAGCGCATACAGATGGGTGTGTGTGTGTGTGTGTTTATATATGTTTCAGATATATATGTATACATGTTTTATTTCCCCCCCAAGACCAACCCCAACTCTAACAAAATCATGTACTCGTTCTACCTTTGTCTCCTGCGGAGATGCAAGTCTCTGTTTTTTCTCTGGACAGGTGTGACGGAGGAAGCACGCGTGTTACAAGTAGTTTCCGATGATATTTTGACTTCCCCAACACGATAGAATTGTCGGCACGCCTCGAGGCTTAAGATGTTTGACGTGTGAGTTGCATGTACTTCTACAAAGGAATGCCTATGTTTATAGGGCTTGCCCCCTGTGGAAATGCAAAGAAAAGGTAGAATAACTACCCACATCATGCATGCACACAGAGCAGTATATCAAACACAGATAATGGAGAAGAAAGGATGGTAATCCTCAAGCCACAAAGACTGATGCGAAACAAAAGTCTTTACATGCAAGCCCCGGGACGCGAGAATACTGCGAGCAAATACCCTTTCACAAGGGGTGGGGGGGGGGGGTCTTTTCGAACTGGTCAGCAAGAGCTAAAGAACAACAACACGACTAGTCCCCCATGTTGTTTTTTAGTTTTGTGGTTTTGACAATTCCCAAAATTTGGGAGATTGTGACCGAGGACTGGTCTCTGTCTCTCTCTCTCTCTCTGTTTTTTGCATTTACTAATGCTCTTGTTTTATGTCGGAGTTGGTCTTGCTGGGGTGGGTGCGGGGGTACCATTTTTGTATGTGTGTATATATATATATATATATGCATGTGTGTGTGTGTGTGTGCGGGTGGGTGTGCGTGCGCGCGTGCGTGCGTGTATGTGTAGGATGCATGCCACAGAACGCAATGGAATGTCTTGTGATCAAATCTATCCTGATTAATGTAGCACAATTCGCTTTGTGCCTTGTGTGCATGCATGTGTCTGTGATCTTGCTCATGCATCTGTACCTGAACGGTTCCGCCATTCCACGGTTACTCACCAAATCACCTTGTGTCCTATAATTTTGACCTTCATTCCCTCAACCTCTAAACCCCCAAACCCTGAAGCCCCCAACCCTGCAGCTTCAGGGAGGGGAGTGTCAGGGGGGCATGCAAAGCCAACGCTCCCCAATATTCCCGCTGCTCCCTAAGGCTCCCGAAGCTTGCCTAAGGTTCCCGAAAAACATCCCTGAACCCGAAGTTTACATGGTTTAGATCTTGTGGTTCAGGGCTGGGTGATTAGGGTAGAAGGTTTAGGTCCGATGGCGGGAACCTCGACCTTTCATTCATGGTTTACATCGTTGAGGGTTTAGAGTCTAGGGTTTAGAATGATTGAATCTAGGGTTTTTGGTTGAGGGGTTGTGAAAACCTGGCGTTTAGGGCTACGGATTACCGCAAAGATGATGTGCTGCATATGTTGGTGCTGCAGGGATCCTTGAAATCAAGAACCGGGTCCACGGTCCACTATCTCGTTTAGGGTTTCGGGTTCAAGGTGTGGGAACCCTAAACCCCCAACCCTAGACCTTGAACTTCACGGGCGCCGCCTCAGGTAGCATACGGGGGATTGGGTCAAGGGGCCAAGAACGCGCACACGTTCCTCGTCATCCAACGCCGCCGGAGAGTGATTCAGGGAGTTTGGGTTTGGATTTCGATGACCGTTGCCAGGCAGAAGCAGAAAGACTGGGCCATGCCACTCGGCATCAGAAGGGGCTTGCTCCAAGTGTTAAACTCAACCTGTGTGGAAGTAGCAAGTGACGTAAGTGGTTTGGGTAAGGGTTCCTAAATCCCTCCCCCCCTCCCTCCTATACTCAACCCTCCCGACTCCTAACATCCTTTCAGAAGGTGGTTGAGGGTTTCGGGGTTTAAGGTTCAGGTTTAGGGTTTAGGGCTGCCTATAGTACCAAAGCAGCCACTAATGGAGACTTCCTCCCTAAACTCTGACCCCTGACCCCTTCACCCTTTAGCCTCATCCCAAAAACCCGACTCCCCGAACCCCACAGTCTTGGTTTCGCTCCTTTATCGACCCGTGGGTTGTTTTGTATTGTCCTTTATTGCGTTTAAGACGATCTAATTGACGACCAGACTGCTTTCAGCTTGCTACTGCCGACGCAGCTTAGGTACACAAAGCACGTGAAAAAGCTCTTTCAAAGTATGGACTCGTCCGGCGACGGAGCGATCAACTTTGATGAGTCGCGTTTCTGCACAAGCAGTTTTCACTGTTACAATTAAACGGGGTAGTTTAAGCTTAGACCTCAAACCCAAAGTCTCAACCCCACCGCCCCTGCTAAAGTCCGAAGCCCTGAAACCCTGCAGCACCCATGCTGGTGCTTAAGGGCGAGTTGGGAGTGACTGTAGGTACCATGTTAGGGGTATGTATGGGGAAGATAAAGGGGGGAATTTAAGGGATCCACTCCACCACTCAACCTTGAGCACCAGAAAGTCTAGTCGTCAACCCGGAAGCTTTAAAGCCACGCAGGCCCATATGCAATACACAGCAGTATTTTAAGAACCTAGGTGGAGGAGTGAGGAGTGTTGCTGCTTCTGAACAGAGGACCCATTGCAGCACGACATACCAGGGACTTCCCTCAGAGCAAGAAACAGGTACGGTGTAGTTTTTTAAATAAGTGGAGGGCGGCCAGGCTCCCGGAGCCACGGAGGTAAAAGTGCTGTTTAAATCGGGTATTAAAAACCCCCCCCCCACCCCTCCACCCCTCCACCCCTCCACCCTCCAACCCCTCCACCCCTCCACCCATTTCCCAGCCCCTCCACGCCACCCCAGCCCCTCCACCCAGCCCCAGCCCACCCCTCCACCCCCTCCCACTCCCACCTCCCACCCCTCCCACTCCCACCCGCCCACCCCTCCCACCCCTCACCCCTTCCACCCCTCCTCCCACCCCCCCCCCCCACCCCTCAAGACGGTCTGGAGAAAGCTTCCAGGAGGGGGTGGAGGGGGGTGGAGGGGGTGGACGGGGTGGAGGGGGTGGAGGGGGTGGAAGGGGGGTGGAGGGGGGGGGAGGGGGGGGAGGGGGGGTGGAGGAGGAGGGGGGAGGGGGGGTGGAGGAGGAGGGGGGAGGGGGGGTGGAGGGTGGAGGGGGGGTGGAGTCGCAACTCTTCCTCCTATAAGCAATGGCTTGCTTACGGTGACGCTTTTTAAACATGCGGATTTTTAAATATCTAAACAGATATTTTATCCTACCTCCGTTGGGGTTTCGAGCGGGCCGCCAAGCCCATTTTAAGCAAGCGGACCCCTCCACCCCCCCCCCCCCCCCCCCCCCCCCCCCCCCCCCCCCCCCCCCCCCCCCCCCCCCCCCCCTCCACCCCCTCCACCCCCTCCACCCCCTCCACCCCTCCACCCCCCCTGGTGCTACATCCTACGCCGATGGTTGAGTTGCCGGGCCTTGGGCCTTGAATACAACAGACGAAAAGGACATACATGTACACTACACGCTCTACTGACCGTCACTGACCTGCCGCGCACAAACATGACTGGCGTGGAGGGTGCATTTCTTCAGAACCCAACACCTATTTTTTGTAGTTTCAGTAAGAATCCCATGAATACGAACCTGCGAAAAAAGTAGGTCTTGGGTTCCTAAAGCCCTGCACCCACACCTTCGTTGCCATAAGCTTGGCTTCGTTTTGTTTTGGGGTTTTGCTCTCTTTTGTGAGTGTGTCGAATATAATGACTCGTGCTTGGTCCCTTGGGCAAGGACTTTTTCCCTTAAGCCTGCGACACAATGAAGAAGCGCCGCACTCCCAGGTTTTCGAAGCTCGTGGCCTCGCCGAAGCTCAAATTCTGGATGAGCCAGTTGGAGCTACCTTGCCGCAGGATGTGCGGCTGACGGTTTTTTCGAGGAATCAGGGCTTGAAATTCGAGGTGTGTGTCTCTGTCTCTGTGTCTGTGTGTGTGTGTGTTGTCTTGGTTGTCAATATTCACACCAGCTGGTGGCTGATAGTGTTTGCGTGCAGGTGTTGCAATTGAGAGTTTGCAGAAGGAAGGTACCATCAATGCTATGTTGAACGGTGTGTTATTAGTACAACCGCAGCTGGGAACAGTCGAGCGGGGTGTTCTACCTTTAAAGAGGTAGAGAGACAGAACTAGCGTGGACTGAGCCTCCAAACCCGAAGCATTAAGCCCTGCTGTGACCTTCTTCAACCACATCAAACTTGCATGTTGCCTGATCGACTTTGGCAAGGTCCATCGCAGACCTTGGGTTCAACAATGTCCTCATGTACATGCGTGTCGAGAGCAGCTGCGTAACAAGGGTGGGGGAGGTGCAGGGCATACTGCGTGCGGTGAATGGGGCAAATTGATGTTGGATACCAGCCGACGGCAATGTGGCGCAAAATGTTGACATATTTTGATTGCTCAGGTTAGAATACCATGACCTCCTCAGCCTCTTCGAGTTCCTCGATAATGGAACCGGCCAAATCACGCAGCTTTGCTTACTGGCACTTACTGGTATGCTGGTGTACGTTTTTAGCTTGAGAGCTTTTTTTTTGGCCGTGTTAGTCGATAGTCTAGGTTGAACAAGCAAACGTTGGATTCGGTTCAATTGTGGGAGATGCAGCCGGTTGCTTCGCCGAAGTACAGGGCACCGGATCCAAACATGGTAGCCGGCCGGTGGGCTCAGCGACAGTCGCACGTTTGCTAAGTTTAGTCTGCGGATCGTATTTCCCGACTCATTTCTCACGCTAAGTTAGGGGTTTGGGGTTCTTTTGGTGTAGTTGTTCGCATGCGGCTTGACGCCCCAAAATCGACTTGAACCCCAAATTTAGAAGCCACGACTTGAACCTAAGCAGAACGCTCCGGTAGAATGCAAGAGCCGGTATGACGACGACCCTGCCCGAAACTCTAGAAACCCTAAAGCCCCCAGCTTATAGTCCCGGAACCCTACACCCAAATTTTCTGATAGGGGGCTCTGGAGGGTTATGCCTATGTGAAACATATCCGGGGGGTTCCTTGAGGCTGTCCTAAACGCCAATAAACCTTAAACACTGAACCCTAATCCGAAACCCTCATGGGCTTGAGGTTAACCGAGTTCATCGATGGTGCTGCCAAGCTCCGGGGATCTGCAAAGGCGCAACACCAGGACACAGGAGGAGTTCATAAACTTATGGATTTAGGACCCAAAAACCATAGGATTATGGTTTTTGGGACCTGAAACCATAATATACCATAATATAAGGTGCTTGGACCCTCCGTTTGTCCTCAGGATTGAGAGTCGTACTGGGCAGTGTGTTACCTCGCGTCACGTGTTGTTTAGTGCATCGCGACTGCGTTTAATAATTGCAGAAGCCATAGTTCCATGTAGGGTATATGTTTGTTAGCTTCATTTGAATCCATATTTCCAGGTAGGGTGCATGTTTGTTGGCCTCATCTAGAATGGGGGGTTCTGCCAGCGTGTGCTAGCATGGTTCCAGGTAGGGTGCTTGCTTGTTTAGCACCAAACGCACTAAATACCGTGGCGTCTGCAACGTTTTCGGTACATTCTTCATGGCTCCTTGCAGGCGTGTATCTAGTTGGGGATCCGCGTTGCCTGATTCAGAATGTCCCCTCTGATGTATATTTCACAGCGTCGACTTAGGGAGATGTATATTCTGTAGCCGTCTAGCATCGGGTGTTTTCTTAAGTGGAGGGAACAACCCTAAACCCAAATGAAGCCCTTTCAATCTGGACACCTTTCTCATCAACGCATTTTTTGAAGAAAAAACGTTCAAGTCATGCAGCCACTTTTGACACCCCGCACGCACCCCACCCCAGGATTCATGCAGTGCCCATGTAGTAGATATTTGTGGACTCCCAAACCCGAAACCCCTATAAACCTTAACTAAGCGCTATATGCCAACTACAGGGCCCAGTCTCAAGCATTCACCAAGTACCTTACGGGGGGGGCGGGAGGACTTGCCATCCCTGAATGGTAAACCCTCCCTCCAAAGCTGTCGGTTTTTGGAGCTGCCCGAAAGGGGCTTTTTGGTAACAACTTTGTAGCTGGACCCTTTGGGCCTAAACCGCAAGCCCAAGAACTTGAGCATCCAGCTTGAACTTTCAAGGCTCAGGGTTTAGGGAAGTTTAGGGGTTGAGGGCTTCAAAGGTTCTCATGGGCGGGGTTGAGGCCAGCAAGCTTTGGGAGGCCTTCACACAAGCTTACGTCTCGTAACCCTTAGTTAGGTCCTTAGGTACACCATGTTCACCAGAGGGTACAGGGGTGTCGCAGCTTGGAGGCCATTGACATCTGGCGGATCGAGACGAAGGCACATTCAAGCACTTAGGTCTGGGAGCCGTTAAAACCAAAAAAGGTTTAGGGCGTACAGTTTCCGGGCTTAAGGCTTTTCATTTCCTCTGGAGGGTGTAGGAAGGTGAGGTTTGATGTTCAGGCTGGGTTTTTAATTTTGGGGCTTGTGGTTTTGGAGTTTTGGGGATGAAGATACAGTGGCTTGTTTTAGTTTCTTGCTTTCGAGCTGCGGTTTAGGGTCCAGGGTTTTTGGTTCAGGGATTATTCTACTGATTGTAACAGTCGAGCTGTGTGGCAGAAGCTGTGGTGCACTTTAGCACATCAGTACTTCTCAGGGCTTCGGGTTTAAGAGCTCCGAGCTCCAGCTGCGTAGGATGATGCGAGCAAGCTGCGTGTTCTGCTCAACCGGTTTAGATCCCTTATAGCCCTAGAAACTTTGGTGTTTGCAGGGTACCCCAACAGGGGGTCCATCAATTGGAACAACCTCTAAAAACATAAAGGTGTGGATCTAATGGGACTAGGTTCAGTATAAGTTAGTCTAAACCCTAAACCCAGAAGTCTCAAGCCCTCACTCACGCCGCGGCTGTCGAAGAGATAGGGTTTAAGGCTTAGGGCTTGGGGTAGTTTATATTAAGGTTTAGGGACAAAGGAGATTCACGATATAGGCCACGCACGGAAAGCAACACCCCCCCCCCCCCCCCCCGGCCCCCCAAACAAAAAGAAAGCCCTCGGCCCTTATATCTAAACCGACTCTAAACCGTAATCCCCAAATCCCCAAAGCCCCAAAACCCTGAACCCCTGAACCGAGGTGGAACTTCTCTTTGAGGAGGTCTTGTCCAGTCTGGCTTCGGCAAGCACCCTGTTGGCATGGGAGTGCGCTCTTGCGGGTTGGGTTTGGATATGTTTGGGTGGTTTAAGGGGCCGGCATGAAGCCCCATACCCCCAATGTCCATTTCTCGTTTTTGTTGGAGCTCTACGCGAAAATACTTTGCGGAGTTTTCTGTTTCCCCACTCAACAGATAGTATTCTGCAAACATTCGGAATAACTTGGACCTCAAACTATTGGAGCTGTTTGCCCTGGAGTGCCCAGCTCTTACCCTAAACCTGAAGACCTAAACCCTGAACTACTAGCATCCTTCTTTGCAGTCTCCCTGCTCGCATCCCCACATCGACAAGCTTAAACTACACCTCACGACCTCCGCATGGTATCTAGCGGGATGTTGATACCCAGGTGTCGCTTGCCCTGAACCCCGTACATCCTAAACCCTTTACTAGGTAGGCCCTTCGGACATTATTGGGTTTATGAGGACCTTTTAGGAATCTTTTCGGAGGGTTTCTAGGGTCAACCTCATTTGCCAGGGATTTCGGATTTTTCACATTTGTAGAATCTAACGTATGATGCTATCAATATTTCATATCATATAACTAATGACCCTCCCCAAAATAACACAATGTAATACAATGCTTATAAGTATAAAATGATGATGATGATGATGATGATGATGATGATGATGATGATGATGATGATGATGATGATGATGATGATGATGATGATGATGATGATGATTATTTATGTATATATATATATATATATATGTAGATGTCTCTCTCTCTCTCTCTTTATATATTGATATATGTATCTACATATATATATATATATATATCTATTTATATCTAGAGTTCGTAGGGGCGACAGATGGCGGGGTCTAGGTAGGGTTCGTCAAACCCAAAACCCTACTACACTTCTCCTCGAGTCTGCACGTACTGAGGGACCCTGAGAGGGCCACTAGGGAGTGTGGTGTAGGGTTTTGGGGTTTTTTGGTCTCGGCTACTGGGTTTCGAGGAAGAGAACGAGCGTCTCCAGATTCAGGTTCGTTGTGTAATGTTTCAAGTTGGGAGTTGCGCCTAACTTAGGTTTGGACCCTGCCAGCATGACGTTTGCAGCCCTATGTGCAGCTTGTGCGTTCAGGGTTTAGGTTTAGATTCGCAGCCGAGGTCATCACGGCCTGCGAGGAGGCAAATCGTCAACCGTAGAGGATGCCTTTGCCAATTCCGATTTCCGGCATATCAAGAGCACGCGCCATGCGCGGCAATCCGGCGGAGAGCTCGCTGCTGCCCTTGATGCCAATGGCACGGGTTCGGGCGGCTTAACCGACCTGTAGCTGAGATGAGACTGGCTTAGGTCCGGTTTTAGTGTTTGGGGCAGGGTTTATTCAGATGCCTGTCTAGCAAGCATTGTACTTGCAACACGGTGACAAGAAATAAGAGTTAAAAGCATGCACTTAGCCTGCTGAGCTGTCTCTGTATTATCTACATCTCTTTCGAGATGTATACATGATACACACATAAGTTGTTCTGCATTCGGGCCCCTTTCAAGTATTTGTTAAACCGAGCCCCTGATAGCAGCACAAGTGCCCCTCCAACAGGGACCCTAAACACACAGTGGACGAAAACCTGAACACATTGGATACATGGTGCATATAAAATGTATGTATATATATACTGTATATACATACACATACATATAGACACATATACATCAAGAACGCAAGCGCCCCGGTCCAAACTACAGGCCGAAGGGCCACACGCAACAATCTGGGAGTCCTCCTGTAAAACCCACTGTGCTGCCTTAACTGGGCCTTGGCTCCCTAGAACCTATCAATCCTAAGCCCCTATACTTCCTACATCTTTGTGCTACACTGCATCCCAAATCTGGTGGTGGGGGTGGTGGGCGGCATGCCCCTCCATTCACGTCCTTAGTAGCGCTCTGGCAACACTTCAACAATTCCGGCCCCTCAAGCTCAGCTTCATTGCACCCCCGCCCGCACCCCCCCCCCCTCCCAAAAACAAAAACAGCAAAAGAGAGTACCCTCAATTCAATCTCGGTTGGATTTGGTCACTTGGCAAGACAGCTTCTCCCACCCAACAGCCCTTCCTCCTGCGATCCCTCGCAAGAGAGCGAAGCTGGCGCAAGCAGCAACGACGATGGCAGAAACAGCCGTTCCGCCTATATATGAACGCTCCCTAACCAAGTCAGTGTCGGCCGCTTGGCATGCAGGGGCACCGCCTGAAACTGAAGGACGGGCCATCAGTTTGACAAGAAACGGGTGTTCTTTCCTGAGACCCTGAATATTTCTTATGGGTGCCCACGGGAATGGGAAATGAAATTGTGATTGATCAGCTAGGTTGCAAAGCAGTAGTCGTGGAATACCAGGGTATTTTGACCTCACCCACCCCCCGATATTCTTGAACTCTGGAGAGTTAGGCCGGATGGACGCGGGTGGGGCGGGCGGTCAAAAGTCCGAGCGTCGATTGTTGAAGTTCTCGAGGCCTGAAAAACTCCAAAATCGACACGCCCGAATGGACAGCGGGCGGGGCCGGGGGGCGGGAGGTCAAATGTTCGACCGTCGATTTTTGGAGTTTTCACGGCCTGCACTTTTGACCGCCCCTCTCACCCTTAAGGTCATAAAAACACCCTCTAATAAGCTGCCCGCCATCTGGAAAGGGGCCTCTGCGAGGGAGGTATCTGGGAGGGGGCGCATCTGGGAGGGGACAGGGAAATCCATCGATCAAAGTTTCCCAAAATCCATCGATCCAAGTTGAGGAGCAGCAGTAGTCCGTCGATCAAAGTTGTCCAGCGGAGGAAATCCATCTATCGGAGTCGCTTAGGGCCCGGGAACAAGAAATCTGCCTTGTGCCAGACCCTGGGTTAAGAAGAACGGCACGACACCAGGGTCTCATTTCTTGTTTGGAACGATTTCTGATCAACACCCTGTGTCCAGGAGATGCTGCATGCATCATTTCAGCTCAGGCCACAGTGATCTCAATGCGCTCTTTATGTTTCCGTCGATCTTCCGTTTTGAATTAAATTTCTTGCACCTGTCTTGGTGGCTGCACGGAGGCGTTGCTGTGAAGGCCAGGCAGTGGCGCGGAGCAAGTATGCAAGATGCCATCAATGGCCATCAAAGGCCCCACATTGTTGACATGTACCCGAATGATGGCTTTAGGGTTGGGTGTGTTGGTTTAGGGCTTGCATCGAAAGAAACTTCTCAGGCATCTTTTTGGGCGTTTCTTAAGGCTTTGACTTCTGCTTTTCGATGTTCATGGTCTCCAGAGCAATTCCTATACCCTGGTAGACCATGCCCAAACAACAGCCTGGTGCGAAGCAAAGTACTTTAAGTCTTGATGGCACCGATAAAAGATGCAGCGCTCCACTCGGCACCCGCTCCTCGTAAGATTCACGGGCAATGCAGCTCCCAAACCGTAGGGTAAGCATGCATTGCTGAGAAACTAAGCCCAAAAATCCCTAGACCCAATAGTAGATGTATTATACCTGAAGCTCTAAAGCCTGAAGCCCATTAGGCCCTGAACCCTGAACGTTTCGACCCCCAAGCCCGCAAAGTCCAACTACCCTAAACCTTCACCGGGGATTCAACCTACGGCTTGCGAGACTTATTTCCCGCAGATTGAGTCCCAGCCAACTCGATTGGATTTAGGGCTTAGGGTTGAAGGTTTAGTGTTTAGGGTCTATTTAGGTCTCGGACCCTCGAAAACCGGCGCCACTAGGCAGCAGCACGCCCATGTGCAAGGTTCACGGCTCTCTGCGAGTTTCACTAAATCCCGATCTAATCCCGCAAGCCCGTTGCGGTGGTTTCGGGTTAGGGATGCGTATAGCTGAGATCTTCCCTGGAGCTGACGGCATCCGTTCCCGGAGGGTGTAGGATTAAGTCTGTGGGTTAGGGCCTAGGGTTTAAGTTTAAAGCGGAAGGGGCCAGATCTGAAATATTGGCCCATTTTGTACCCTAAACTAAACCATATGAAGCCTTCCCCTCGCCAAAATCCTTAAGTCTGAAGACCTCAGAGTCTCAAACCTCAACCCCGAAACCCCTGAACCCCTAAACCCTTAAGAACCTCATGCCCGGCAAGCCGGGCAAGCCTCTGGCCGGTGGGTTTAAGTTAGGGAGGGTTCGGTGCGCTTGTCCCATACTTTCTGTAAGTTTGAGGGTTTATAAAGTTTAGGGCTAGAGGTTTAGGATTTAGGGTTTAGGCTTTGGGTTTAGCACTGACTTCGGACTCTTCTGATTCTTGTGTTGGGGTTTTCGCTCCCACTCATCCTATTGTGCAATCTGTTTGGGCTATTTTGATCCCAAGGGCTAGGCGTCTAGGGCTTTAGAGCTGAAGGGCCCAGATGAGTGGAGCTTAGGGTTTAGGGTTAGTTTTAGGGATCAGGGCTTTATAAAGGACTTTAGGGTTTAGGAAATTAGGGGTTAGAGCTTTCGGGGTGTAGCTACAGTGGTTTAGCGCTATATGGTTGTCTAGGGTAGGGTTCGGTTTTAGGCTTTAAGGGGAGCCGCCCTAGGTTGGGATGACATCTCGGATGCGGGCTTAAGGGAGATCAGACATGAGTAGTTTAGGGTTTAGGAGACATGTGGCGGTAGGCCGGGTAGAGAATGCTTTCAAGGATGTTCTGAGGCTCCATTTTCACCGAGCGCTTCATCTCGCGAAGTTTGGCGCGAACTCGGCAGAAGCGTCGTGATTCCAGAGGATCTGTTTGGCGATTCCGTGCACGAAAGGCACGTCGATTGGCGATTTTGGCTGAAGGCTGAAGCTGTGGCAAAGGTTTGAGAACTCGCTGACTTTCCTCTTGTTTTGCAAGCTGCGCAATTGGGTATCTGCCATGCCTTGGGCCAAGCCGTTGGCATGGCACAGATTTACCCGATCTTTCGACGTTCCAGAGGGTACCTAGGCTCATGAATCAAGCACCCCTGCATGTAAAGTGTATATGTGTCTGCGGTTCTGATTGTTGAATGGTCTAAGAATTGTTTGCGTGCATGTACTGAAGTGAAGAATGTACGCTCAATTACCTGCACATGAACAGGTATACATCCGCAATGCTTATCATGTCTCAGTTGATCGAGAGCAAAGGGCTGTTTACCGTGTCGGCTTGTATGGATACAAAGTCTCAAATGAATGCTTTTGTTCTTCTCTCGGACTTACATACACAGCTGAGTCGCGGCTAGACCCTATGACCTCCACAGCTATATGCTAGGTAGGCCCTTGGTTCCAGCGCGAACAGTGTAGTCACTTGAAAGGCTTCAGCCGCGAAGACTTAAACCAAACACCCTAAAGATCGCAGGGTTTGGAGGTAAAATTTGTGGAACCTCTGGTTCCTAATGCTCACAAGCATGCAGTGTAGCTCCTCTTTGTGCATTCACAGACCCTAAGCCCTAAAGGCCTAAACCTCAAATGGCTAAGGAGTACTAGGGCATGCTAGACAGCGTTGGGTTACATATCCCCCTTTCACCCCATCCCTTGGCAGCCCCAACCCCGACTTGGTGAGTCCTCAGCATTATCGAGCTGAAAGTACTCCCTGGGCCGCACAAAAACTGCCAGGAGCAGTTGCTTAGGGCCTAGGGGTTCTATTCCGGCTAGGAAAATCGAAGGACATTCGGCGCAAATGGAGAGGCGGACTTCCCTCACCTCCCAAGAACTAAGTGGCTCCATCCCTACCCGTGAACAACCCCAGGGTCGATTCTTAATGCTTAAGTTCGCAACAAAATGCAGGGGGTGCTGTAGAGGCACCAAGCTAAATGCAGTTTGGGGTTCGATTTAAGGTTTAGAGTTTGGAGTTTAGGGCCAGGGATACGCTACCTGGACTCTTCAAAATCTCGCAGTGTGCCCTGAGAACAAAAACATCTAGCACAGGCTATTCGTCCATCCTTTGAGGAGCCTGCTGGGGCTTCTAGGGTTTAGGGTTTAGGGTTACGTTTAGGGCTGAGGCCCTTGCGGAATATTTGGCATTTCCTTATTGGGCTTCAGCAGACCTTGTTTAGGAATCTTTATCGGAGGGCCAGGTCTGCTTGAGGGCCTACCTGCTGGACTGCCGCCCTGAACCTACATCCTGACCCCAAAACCTGCACCCCTAAGCCCAAATTTCCTGTACTCCGCACCCGAAGCCCTGAACTCAGCCTGAAACGGCGCCAAACCCAAGCCAGAATCTCCTTGATCTAAACCCTCTTACACTTTGCTGATGTGGGCTGTAGCCTTGTCTAAGGTTTTGTCTCAAGGCTTATGCCCGTGCTTCATTTCTTTCTTATGAAACCCTAACCCTAAACGAAGGTACCTCCTGAAACGGGCAGCGTAGAAGCCTCTAGGCAGAGTT